ATATTTCAGACCTCATTTCCCCAGGTACCTTTCCCTATATTGGCATACCACTACACACTACCTTTCCAGAGAGCCTCTCATGTCCACCAATTCCACTTTCGTTTACATGGCAAAAGTTTCTAAAGTCATATTTCAGCTTTAACATGGGAGGTTTGAGTCAAGATTTATGCTTTTTCACCACAGGATATAGGAGATGTCTGTTCTCCCTGAATGGGCTTTGTTATATTTTTTTCTTTGCTGACACTTTCCCTGGAGCAAGTGGTGCATATTCAAGGAAGGTGACTTTGTGCCCAAAGGAAAAATCCCTGGGGACTTGCTAATCTCCCCCAGCCAGTCAGTAAAAAGAAGTGAAAGCACTCAAAACAAAGCTTTCCTATATTTCCTTCAGAGAGACTCCCTCCCAGACAGTTCTGGGTTTGCTCCCAGCTCATCCTTTCTACACAAACAGCCACAGGCTGTAGGAAAGGCTGAGTCCATCAGCAGGATAGCAGAAGAGCTCACAATTTGGAGAGCTAGGCTCATTCACCCAGGACATTTTTAGAAGCTCTTTCTGCAATCAGTGCATTATGCTTGCCAGGATTTCCTGACCCAAAATAGACATCATGTTCAGGTCCTGCTCAGGTTTTTGTAAAGTGTGGTGTCCTTTTATTTTCCGCCTTCTGTCTTGGATTCGAGACAAAGAGGGACAGATGTCCAGAGTGTGACAGGGACCTCCTTGTGTGTAGTCACCATTGGAACACACACCAGGCAGAAGTGATGGAGGAAGCTGTTTCCTTGGGACACTGCACATGGCTAGAAGCTACTAGGGGACATCTGGAGAGGACAGAGTGAGACAGTGAAGAGGAATTGTCTCTGGGGCCTAACATGGAAATTGTCACTATGTGCCATATACAGCCTACTGTGATTGGTCCATTTCTTACTGAGACCTCACTGTGAGGGTTGAGTGTCCTGTATATAAGGCTGTGGCCTGGCCTGTACTTCTGTCTCTACAGACCAGGGAGCTGAATTCAGTTACTGTGGAACTTTTTCACTGCTATCTAGCTTTTTAGATGTTGAGTTGCAGCTTCAAAAAGATCTGTCTGCACAGGAGCACAGTGACCACCCAGGCTCATGGCCTGTCAGTCCTAAATGAAGAACCTCTAAATTCAAAACATGGTCCTACTTACCATCAACCAGGGTTCATTTGGCTCTGTAACTGGCCTATCATCGCCTCACAGGCACCCATTGGCCATAAATATTATAGACAACATAGAGCAGGACCTCTGGTTATCATGTCAGATGGTGACCCTGGATAAACTACACCATCCTAACATAATTTGACTCTTCCAGATTCTTATAAAACCACAACATTTCTTTGTGATAAAGAAAACTCATTTCAGTGAGTAAGGGATGATGGCAGGTTGCAGGAGGAAGAGGCACAGAAAATATTTGGGCAGATAATGTCAGCCATCAGGTTTTGTCATGACCTTCACATCGTCCATCTAGACCTGAATTCTGAAAATATCCTTCTAGATGAAGAGGGCAATGTGAACCAAAAAGACTTTGATATTGCAACCAGATGTAGAGCTGGCACTGTACTGCAAGGGTAATGTCTAACCAAGACCTTCAATGCCCTACAACTGGTACTGGGAGAGGG